TGATATCTCTTGCCCAAAAAAAACTAACGTGTATCCATTTGCAAGACAGAGTAGAGCAGTCAGGCATTGCAGAGCATCACGTATAGATTAAACCAAAGTATATGTCGACAAATAATGGAGTAGATGCTCAGGTGCCCAGGAGACAGTTTGCGCAAGCGAAAATATACTGGATTTGGAAAACATAGGCGACCTTAAAATAATTGGAACATTGGATAATATACACATCTGATGGTTTGTCTGCTTGTTTTCGTAAGCAACAGAGTATGATTCTACCTTATTTTCAGGCCCATTATCAAGGAGAGGAGTATCTCGATGAAGTGCTCCTGAATGTCAGTTCATGTAAAGCACGCCATATAAGACTAATCGGGAGAAAACCAAGTGTTTTAGCGGGCATGATGAAACCGGTTAAGTAAGGCAATAGCAGCTCTCCAGGTGGAATAGCACCTGGCCCATCAATGTTTTTGGTGCACGCCGTTAGATCGGTCAAGGCCAAGCCACAAATTCCAAAGTACATTGGCTAAGTACGCATAAACAGATTGACTGCTACAATCATTCGATGCGGTAAGAGCCACAAGCCCCTGTACTGTAGTACTAATGTAGCGATTATTCCAGCTTTTGTTTACGTCGGACCAACACAAAATTCTGAAAGTCACGCTGAAATCGGACCTCGATTGTCCAGCCACCAGCATGCACTATTAACTCCTCGGTCAAACCAGTAACCGAGAGTCAGCCGATTCACCCAAGAAAATTCTATCTGTTCGTTCAGTTGACTGATACAGGTGTGGTGTTACTATCGAGCTATATCGCTTACGGCCTTCGCACTGTGCGGTTATGACCCGGTAGGGTTCAAAAAACAAGACTCCTTAGTGGACTGATGAAAAGCAGTGGTGGATGCAGGCCCAACCGTCATTACGGGTGCAACAAGTTCAGGACTGTTTGAATCGCATCAAGTTACATGTAACTTGCATTATCACCGAAAGTGAGTACATATTTTGAGTGCAACTGTGCTCCACAGTACGTTTTGCCAAGTTTAAAACAGCAGGAGGGACGAGAATGAAAGGCAGCGGATAGCCCCATCTTTCTCTCTCGTCCATAATCATAAGCAGTAGTGTATATCGTATAAATCAGCACGACAACCAGGTAGAATGTCCTTCTTATGTAGCTGTCTATCTCCAATAGATGATAGGAAGCAGTCTGAGTGGCCCTTTAAGTGGTTTGACCATCAGGGTGAATACGACCGTGCACCGATGATGTCACCCCGATTTGTGATGAAACTTTTGCAGACCAGTTGTCAACGCGGCTAGCGGATAAACGGCCATTTGATCAGTCAGTTTGGGTTCAAGTAGAATATAAAGTTGACGGAACTGGGGAATGGCGTCTACCGGGTAAGCGCCCGGTCGTGGGCTGTCGAAGAATTTTCAGCAAATATGTGAGTAGTTTCCTTCGAGAAAACGTACGAAAGTACTTAAAAATTCTATTCAGGGATGCCACACAACTTCGAGATGGATCATTTCCGAGGATTTTCATACCAATAGCCACATCTAATAGAGGAAAAGATGGTCGATTCTCTGCATTTCAGTTAATTTATGGTCTGAGACCGAGACAGTGCTGGTAGTATAGGGTCGACCGAAACGAGTGGAAGAGTTAAATTAGAAATATCTGGCCAGTAAAGCACAGCAAGCATAATTTGACAGGACGAAGTAACGCGATTCTTCACGTGATCATCTAGTTCACAGGTCATATCGCTAACCTCAACACCACATCACACAAAGACAACGTCTCCAGTTACAAGCAAGATGCGTTTTCGATTCACCTGAGATGATTCTTGGAGCCAAGTTGGAAGTGCCACAAATTAAGTGCAATAGCAAACCGGGCTGGAAAAACGGTAGTTCGGTTGACACAACTATTCCATCCAACCAGCTTCTTTTAAGTAACATCAAACTGCAGTTCACTACTCGATCGCTGTCTCTTTCGATCGTAATGTTTGATTCCAAACGACACACCTACACTTGAGGCTCTGAGTACTTCATTACGCGTACATCGTAACCTTAACCACAGAGAGAATGGCAGACGACCGCCTACTTCTTATCATGAGATTGTGACAGAGTAGCAGCGCAAGTGGACAGCTCACCGCCACTCCTATCCTGTTAAAACAAACGGGAGTGATAGTAACATAGTTAGTTATCCTTTAGACCGCAATGGGAAAACTCTGCGTTGCGTGGTAACTCAACAGACTCACCATTTTTGTTCGCAAATCACAATAATCAGGTATACCTTACTCTGTACGGCGTTCAAACTGACCAGAAAATGAATATCCTCAGGCGAAAACGGGGCCCCTAAGTAAGCGATCCTGTCAACCAGTTGTGCTAAACTGTTTGTTGTTTCTTGTTTGGTACGAACGTCAGGTCAGGAGAGATTACTTTGGTCGGGCTGTGAGCGCCTGGCTTTAATGGGTCGGGATCGAACCATCTATGTGTTGCGACGACTAGGTGGAGTTTCGGGCAACAAATTAAATTACTTAACGTGAACCCAATGCGTCCGGAAATATGTATCGGATGTGGTATGGAAACCGAAGTGTTGCACAACCCACTCTAAATATCTCACAAATGCGTCATTGAGTTGTCTCCAGGTTACTATTAGGGCGCTTCTACTTGAGGTCTCGATCGAACTTGAAGTAGTCCATCCTTAGCACGGCGTACGGTTTATACGGTTACAGGACCGAAATGACGTCATTTAAATTGATTTTATCAACTAAGCTTACGCTCGTCCCAGTTGGTACAGTTTCGGCAACCGGATGATGAGAGTGCTGGAGATACAGCCGAGCATTTGAAGCAACGGCCTGTCCAGTTCGTTCAGGAAAACAGAAGGCTACGCATTGAATCCGGTAACTTTGATGCACCAGCAGCGCCCACTGCCTGACTGAGCAATGCCTGCCACTATCATTGACCATTTGAGTTCATTTCCAAGGTCCCCATCTAGGGTGGTGGCAATTGTCGACTTAACCCACTTTTCGCATTGGTTGCCAGGTCATACACTGTCCAGCTTCTGATCGTTTCCACTCGGTACAGGATTGGGCAAAAGCAAATGGTCTTCCGGTATGCGCTAACTGGTGTCACCTATGAGGCGTGAGTATCTCATTCATTATTGAAGAGTCCATTCATTCTAAAACCAACTGGCGTACCTCAGCGCTACTAATCCGACGAGAAATGCCAATATAATGAAACAAATTTTATCGACTTTGAAACTAAATGCAGCCTGCTCGAAAATAGCAGCTACTACGCTGCACCAATCCTTTAGGAATCGACTAGGCCATATCAAGACCAGAGTTAAACTGTCTGCCCAACATCACCAGCGAGTATTAATTATGTGAATGAGTTCGGTAGAATGTTCATTCTTTCAGTCCTAAAATTCAACTTAACAGAAATCTTGATTTTGGTATAACCTTGAGTGAACCGATACTAGGTCCGGCTTTGCGCACAGGTCCGCTTAACCTTAGGTGACGAATCTTTTCTGCAGAAAGGCTGGGTTGTGTATTCAGTTTGAAGATTTGGGACATCGCTGGTACGAGGCCGAAGACTACGAGTATCCGGAAGCAAACCGATCTGATTAGACAGGACACAAAAGCGACGAAACCAAAAGCAGTTGGGACACTGTGTGAAGGCAGTTTCGTACTCAAAACCTTCAACCGCGGTTGGTTTGTAGCCAACGCTTGATGGGTTCCGTTCGTATTTTTGAAGCTGAACGACAGTTGTTTGGCGACTGTCCTTTTGATTCAATCAGCTGGTGCATCATACGCTTCCGATTTTCTCGACATCAACCCCACCATGACAGCAGTGTGTAGACAATGGTCGGTAGATAAGTGACAAGCAGTCGATGTGCACGGCTGCCACAATGACACTTTAAAACCATACCACAATAAGGTCAAGAGACCGTAGCAAGAGCTGTCAAAAACCATATCAGTGTTCCGAACACGCCCTGAAGAACTTTCATGTTAACAACCCGCGATCCAGTTAGGCGCCTGAAGAACGCATTAAATCTGATTTCCCAGGGCGGAGCAATACCTTTGATATGAAACCAATGTAGTCCATAGGTACTTGAGGGACTGGTCATTCGATCTGTACACCTAAAGAATGGCATCCCTCTTGATTCTGAACTAAAAGTAAGAATTAGTATAACAGGGGATCAAAGTTTGATAAGCAACAGCGATTGGGACGTGAATGTGCCGTTGCACTTTATAACAATGCACGGAGACAGGGTTTGATTAGCTCTACCGCAAAAGCAGTCATATTTCCGGGAGTTGAACAGCTTGGGTCGGTAAGGCATTCGCGGAGAGAGACAACGTTTATTTAATGCCTTGTTCCCGCTAAAAGCCGCTAATTGGCCGAAGAAAGTAAGAAAAAGATTGCCCTAGTGATGGCGCCGAGCACTCTTCCAGCTTTCGATATCACAAAGAACCATCACAAATCGTCCACAATCGGATCACTTCAATCAGCTCATACGTATGGTACGCAACCAGGCTAACGACGGTAGCAAAACTGCAGGATACATAGCAAGATTCCCAACCAAGACAAGACCGTTACTGACCATTCAACGAAAGTGATCGATTCTGTTAAAACGACTCGAACGAAGACGGCTAAGTCCTGAGAACCTAGATTCCACTCCTCGGCTCGAATATCAGAAAACATAAAATTTTATACATAAAAGATTAGCTTTTTATTATCATAACGAACATGTGAACAATTTAAAGCCATCTTACATGCGATATAAAAGACAGACGCCAAAAAAGACGTAGTTACTGGGAACAAAAGTAAATACAATTCGAGTTTTTGAAGAATTATGGGGCCAAAAATAAATAATCACTGGGCTTGGTATGGTTGTTTATAAAGAAAACGGATCAAGACGGTTTCACAGAGCAGGTGGCGGTAAAATTAAATATTAAATCTCATCAGAGGTGAGCAATGGTCAACAACCAAAAATGACGTTTGCGTAATCTAGGTTTGTTAGATAGCGGGAAACTGGTTTGTAGAAATAGTAGGTACAGGGTGAACGAAATAGCATTTCTTACCAAATGGACAAGTACCGGTGTAAAGAAAGTTCATACACATGCGGGTTCTGTATTTCGGATGAGATTGTGGATGAAGCAGTTCTTGGGGCCCGTGGGCGAAGTGACAGTTTTCTCCAAGTGGGCAGCGTTTATGCTTCTGGTAGTGTAAACACGGCTGGGTCTTGTAGCGTGCATTGTAAATTGCATCTTGTTTTCGGGGCATGTGCGGTCTCTTATGGACTTGCATTGGAGTGGCTGATCTAGGATGTTTTGCGTTTCCGCTGGGTAACGAACTCAGGTCAATAGGCGGTAGTTGTTCAACAGGATTCATAAAATATGACTCGCGTTGTCTAAGAAGTGGACGGGGTTTCGGTACCGAGACAGTTGGATTATGGTATACGTGAGGTGTAAATTGTGAGTGAGCTGATAAAGCGCCAGGTGAGGAATGCATCTCTGTACTCCAATAGGGAACGTCACATTCGATGCCGGAATCTGGGCTTGCGGGCGGTGATTTCGCTGCTTGAAAAGGTTCTGCATTCTGTCGCAATAACATACGCATCAAGTGTTCTTCTCTTGTTTGGCCCAAGCTGGCGTGGACGATACGTTCATCGGCAGTACTTTCTGAACATGCTGACCATGCAGTTTCCACGATACGTAAAACGTTCTCAGGGAAAGCATCGGATGGATCGTTCAAAAATGGAAATTGAGAAGCAGCCTGCATCCTCTAGATAGTCGCTGAATGATGAGATATTTGAGCTGTCTACAGCCGGCGAGGCACAGTAAGTATGCTGGACACCGGGTCCGACTGAGAAATGCTCACGCGTTGAACTTGTCGGACGAATGATTGCAGTGCTAATTGTCTATTGGTGGGAATAACCTATCGGACTTCGCGAACGCAACTGATCGGTCATTAGGCACACACACACAAACAAACAACTGCACACACCAGGTCAAATCATCGTGTCAGTGATTTGTCAACGAACTGACTCACCTTGACCGACTTTTGTTTGTATGCATGGGTTTGTGGGTTGGTGATAGGCCGTAAATGAAAGGGGTGTAGTGTTAAATTGGCGAGCAGTTCACTTTCAGATCAACTGGTGAGGGTCTGGTAGGGCTGGGAAATGGTGTGAATCAGCTGGAGTAAGACGGTTCCAGAGCGGAACACATGTTTTCGGATGAACAGCCACTTGTAAGTGGGTGAACGCCTCAATGCCCATGTGCACGCGACCGCATTCTGTGAAATCCATTCTCCACTTTAGTTATGACGGCCTTATTTCCCAAGCCTTGAGTGGATTCAGATGTGCGCTGTGATTCGCGCGTGTTTCCGTATACTTGTCTAAAGTTTTATTGAACCTAATTCATCGGTTTTACAGTGATGTGCTGCATCTGGCATTGCTTCCAGTAGCCGCAAATGATTTCTCCTGGTACAAGGCCGTTTTCATCTCAGCCTAGTCATTTGAGGCACGGGATGCCCAGCGCACCTTGGATGACGACATTAGGGTGGCTTGATTTGCTCTTTAGAGGCCGAGTAATTAGATTCACCGTAGATCAGTCTGCTCCATCATCGGCCTAACAAATAACTCAGTAAACTGGTGCTTTCCGAAGGCGGAACCCAGCTATTTAGTTACTGTTAATTCACCATAGACCAGTTTACTGCGTACCATTTCTCAGTGAACGGCCGCAATACCAGACCGACTCACTACAAAACTATTAGTATTAGCCTCACTCAGGTAGTTTGTAACGAATTAAAGTAAGCACAAAATGTAAAGGCATCTAGAGCCACGAGGTACTTGCCCTTACGCCATTTACCGGCGGATGGGTGACTGCATGTTTCAGTTTTATTGGTGATAACACAGTACTTAATGTCGCGGTCACCCAACGGTAATCTCTCGGACCGATGCCATACATTTGTTCTCAAGTGAGAATTTGATGAAACACATAGGGCACGTACATTGCGAATTGTCTCATACTGTCCAAACATGGTAGTTCTGGTTTGTCTGTTTTGTCTCAGCTTAAATCTCAACGGTGTTCTTCCTGCAATACAAACTTACGGAAGGATACATATTTGTGGGAAGTTTACAGACTATTAAGGAGCTGGTCAGTTACTTCTATCGTGAAAAACAGCCACCACTGTACAGTTTAAGATAGAAGTGTGCGCTGCTTGGCATGCGTGTTTCGTCACCCATTTCCTGTTTGTTTGCTAAATTCTATCCACTACCTAAAACTATCGCATTATGGCAGCGAAGCACTTGATAAAGTGGGGCTAGCTTAGTCATGCAGTGGTAACCACAAGCCAGCAGGCGTTCAGTTTTTTCACGATAAACTGGCAGGTGGTAGATTATTTGTTAGTTCACTGGAGATAATTCTACTGAGGGATAGTAAACTGAGACCCAGCTTAATATGTCACTTTTTGGTTTCTTCAACCGAAGGTCCCGCTGAGTACTTTGCGTCAAGAAAATGTATTATTATTATTATGCAGTAGAATTCTGTTCAATCAGAGATACGCGATATTGGATGATGAACTTGTGGGCCTATTCTGCTTTCAGGGCGTTTGTCCGCTAGGCCGTTGCGTCCCTGGAGCTTATTGGGCTCTTTGGTACTGAGTGTTATTGGGACCATCGAGTCATTCACTATTCCAGATGAATCGTTGCAACGCCTAAGTTCCTAAGATTTAGGGTGAAATAGGCTGTTCACGAAAATGGACTGTACTCCGTCTAACTTGGTTTCGTGTGACAAGGCACCTGATTTAGATGAAATGACAACGTGACTGATCCGGTCAGTTTCGACCAAAGTAAGGTTAGGTTCACTTAGGAGAAACGATACTGAAGCGCTATGTCTGCACTAAGAATTCGGGTTTCATTTAAGAGGTTATGAACCAGTAAAACTAAATTGGCGACTTAATACACTATTCATGAGGTCTCTGAAAACTCTTCGACAGCTCACGACCGGTTTCGCGCTTCTTGGGACTCATCATGTTGATGCAGTCCCGGAGTTTCTGCCAACCGTATGTCTTACCTGAACATAGATTGCACGAAATTAGCGAAATACATTCTTTTGCAAACGAATTCGAGTTGCGGGAGACACCTGGAACCCAGTTGAATCTCTCGCTTATGGATTCCAGATGGGTCTCGCCCCAAAATGAGTGTATTTCGTTAAATTGGGAACTTCTTTTAGTTGCATTGACTCGACACTTTGTTTGTAGTGCCATGTACTCTCAAAGAATGTTATAGTGCTTCAGGTAAAATGTGGTGGATCTATCATGTGTTCACTAAAGTTAATTTATTCGACGAAATGCTCGCAGTCGATGTCACGGAACAGTTACTAGTCCAGTGGTATAATACATTGCTTGGAGATGTCACACAATACTACTACTAGTAATAATCTTAGCAGCAGTGAAGCGAAATTATGTCGACTATCACTGGAATGAGGCAAACTTACAAGGACTTCTGTATGGGGTATCATTCTACATCGGACCACTCCTCAGAGAACCTTCTACTACACACGACTTTCCCCGGCCACGTACAATTCTAGCCATTACCTCCATACAATGAGCTGACATCTTTATAGGCTTGCACTTTCCCAACTAGGCGAACCACTTAAGGGAATTTCAAAATTTGTCACATTCGAGGGTGCATTCTGGTGGTTGAGTAACCAGTAAAACCGTGTTGCTTGTATTTCGGAATGAGTTATTGACATTTCCTCCGTTTCCGAGTAGTCTTCAAAATCTGGGTTTTCCAGTCTGTCTACTGTATGCGCCGCAGAAATTTAACAATTAAACGATTATACTAGTGCAAAATGTTAGATCATTTTAATGAACATCAGGCCGTCTCATGCGGATACTTAGGGGATAGTTTTTTTCATTTAGTTGGACGTCAGCAAGACCCACTGAATACGAGAAGTTTTGAAGAGGACACACTCATGTACAACGGCAAAAATCAATATGATTACGACATCCTTAATAACAATCCAGTTATTATGCACTGCCCCATCTTCCCTTGAACCATGTTCCCTTCAGTCAATATGTCAGCTTTGCGGTGATGACAAACGCTGCTACACGTGTATTCAAGGTTAATCTACCTACTTGTTCCGGGCGATTCCAGCTGCAGGCAGTATACCAGTGTCACAGATTATCGTATTACAAGCCAAACAAGAAACAGTCACGTACTGAATCAGTCGAGGGACTAAGGGTTTTATTCTGACCTCTCCTTTTAAAAACTCAATCAGCCAATTGGGATCCAGGGAATAAGTCCTCTCCGAGTTTGAGTTCACTTCTCAAACTAACATCACGATGAAAAGAAAAAGAATTAACAACTGTCTTTCCAATGAATAAGTTTCTAGTTACGGGGCTTCATGAAAGGGAGAGTCCTATGGCAACGACCGAGCTTCTGTTCACGTGACCAGCTAAGTTGTTCATGCAGAAAACCGGTGATCGTAAACAAATGTTTTAAAAATACGAGAAGGCCAGAGAGATTTTCTGCTTTTCAATGCCCTAGTTATAAAGTCTAATTCAAAATTGCCCCAGCTTGCAACAAGAAAGTAAAATTATACAAAAATATAAGGCACCTACTTCAACTACTATTCATGCTTTAAAAGCAAAGTGAAACTGGGTTAGTGGTTGGCCATAGTGAACTTGAGTTACAACAGATATACTCATTTGCAATTCAGTTTGTTCTTTTTTCCGAGAATCTCAAGTGAATCTGTTGTTCATGAAGTTTTTTTAACTGAATATGCTCCAGAAAGGCCACCCCATATTTCGGTCGCTACGATATTCGAGATATCACAGTATATTTTTATAAAGGAAACTACTCACAAGGTTACTGTCGATGAGTTTTCAGCAACCTTGTGAGTGGCTTGCTCTAAGAGCTTAAATTACCTTTGTTGTTAGAAAGCGTGAAGCTGGTGATGTCCATTGGTAATAGCCTCCCATAATGATGTTTCAGCTTCTATGATCGGTCAGTTATAAGTTACCCACCAAAGAGAATATTGGCATTCACTTCTTGCTCACCTTGGTAAACCAGAATCACACTTGAAACCAACACACGCTGTTTACACTTTGTGCTGTTTTCTACGTCTAACCTGCCATTAAGATGATATCCGTGCTAAATTTGGAGCCAGCAATTACTTGGTTACAGGCCTGAGGGGACAATTCTTAACCGGCACTACAACATGCACCACGAACATTATCTGCTCGAATGTTGGTGAAAGGGTTGATAATCATTTGCCAGGTTCAGTGAATGTACTAACTACAACTGCCAACATAAATGCATCTATTCGGTAGTCTGTGACTAGTTTTAGACTTTGGGGAGAAATTAGCGTCACAACAGTCATTCAATTAATGTTTACTAAGAAAATACTCACAAAATCCTCACAAAAACTCCCCAGTGTTTGTCTACTACCGTTTGCATACCAACGAATTCACGAAATTCGATATGTGAAGCTAAAATTAATGACCAAAGGAATGTTCTGGAGCACTGAACGGAGTAGATTTTACCTCAGTGGATTCGACTAGCGTTAAAAAAACAAAATGTCAGTGTAATCAAAAGGCCAACGAGGGTGGTTCAACAGTCTAACCAAGTGCAACTAAACGGAGCAGATCTACATCACAGTGTGCCTCATCGATGGGAGCAAGCAAGCCAGCCACAGTCTAGCTCATTTCGAAAGGAAAGTCTTACGTTTCGCTGTGGGACAACTAACTTTGGGACCACATCTACATGCGGTATT